GATGCTTGGCTTGCAGGATGTAAGTTTCAACAGTTTCCTTTAGATCTTCCTCTTTTTACTATCTTATATCTGATTTATCCATCTTCCCAATAGATATGGATGCGAGTCGTGAACTATCTCCCAGCACTAAGGAAGATAATAGGGGCTTTTGAGCTGGAATGCTAGACGGAAAAGGGGGGGGGGGGGGTGACTAGGGCTGTACCGAATATTCGCTTCGTATTCGCTTCGGGGCCGAATAGTGGACCTATTGACTATTCGGTATTCGGCCTGCTTACACCTGCTTATGCATACACGGTCTTAATGCTGACAACATGGAACGATTGGTTTTGTTGAAAGCTAATGCAGCTTTCATCCATTAACTAAGCTGTTGGTGACAATTTACACGTTTAAATACTTGTTATAATACTTAGGATTCTTTTATTCCTAGTTAATAATTACCACAGACTGACTGAAGGATGCAAAACATAAAATGTTTTTAAATGTTTACTTTTCTGTACGAATACTAACTAGACATGGAAAGAATATAAACTACAGCCACATCGAAGTCGATAATATGAAAATCAGAAGAACCAAAACATAAGTATTTGGGCGCAAACTTCAACTGCTCCAACGTGCTGAGAGAAGAAACACAATATAGAATATAATCTAGAAATAAAGTATACTATGCCCTTCAACATCTGCTAAAGTCAAAGTGTCTGTCTCGCAACACCAAGATCAAAATATATAAAACGTTGATAAGACCAGTCGTTTTATATGGCTCTGAAACTTGAAGCAGAAATAAAAGAGATGAGGCCTTATTAAAGGTGTTCGAAAACATCCTTACGACAAATCTTTGGACCCATACAAGATGCTAACAGCGGGGAATGGAGAGTGGAAAGCAACAACGTAACACATAATCTGTTTAAATCACTATTGATCACTGGCATCATGAGAGCTAACAGACTAAAATGGTTGGGGCATATTAAAAGTATGTCAGATGACAGAGAAGTAAAAACTGTGTACACCTGGGAGAGGAATGGGCGTAGACCATGAGGCAGATAAAAAAGAAGATCGAGAGATAATGTCCAGCCAGACCTGCAAATAACTGGTGTCACAAATTGTGAAGATAAGGCCAGCCAGAGAGATGAATGGAAACGAATGATATCTGCAGCAATAAACCTCAAGGGCTCAGATGCTAGAAAAAGATGACTATTCTGTGCTACTTTATGTGGAAAAAAAAAGTTCAGCGTACATTTGATTTTTTTTTTTTTTTTTAGATATATTTTATACACAATACACTAATCATATTCGTATTCGGCCGAATAGTTGGTCCCGTTATTCGTATTCGGCCGAATAGTGAAAATCACTATTCGGTACAGCCCTAGATGTGACATTTTAAAACATCTAAAAAACGTCTTATCATCTTGGTAGATTGGCTAATAAACAGCATCTTGTCTCAGAAGTACAAATTGTGTGACCATATCAACCGCTTTGGCGTATTGAAAGAAATAATAGCAGAAGGCATGGTACCAGGAAGGACCGTTACGAAAATACGAAATTGGACGCAGGATTTTATTGACTTTTGGAATATGAAAGTACACCAGGCGAGAGAACTCGCGAAAGACCAATTTCTTTATTTTTTTAAGGCAGACTATAATGAGATCGACTTTCTGCAAAGGACCTGCTATATGATGATTCCTGATTTACATCGTCAGATGAGTTTTTTAGAAGTACTTTTCAGTTCCATACAGCTTTCCGTGCGGTGTTGATTCAGTTGACAGTATTTACTTTTTTCAAAGGAGATGTACATAAAACCATCTTATAGAGTATGATTTGTTGTTTATACGTACATAGTTAATGGGCGCAGTGATAAAATACCCATACAAAGCATAGCCATGTTATATTCCCTATATCGTGTCTTGTGGCGTAGAGTGACGACCGCTCCGTGCCGGTAAAGTAGTGGTAATCATTGGCCTGATTATGTTTTCTTCTAATTTAATTTGACTAGACGTCCCCCCTCCCCCAGAATAGAAGATCTCATGTCTTCTTGTTTGCAGTATTCCCCCTTTACTACCAGATGGCAAGCTAGATGTTGTGATGCCTTTTTGGAAGCGAGTGAACAGTGCGAATGGCACAATTAGATCTTTACAAATTGCGCTGCTAGGAGTTACCAATATGTCTAGCCGACGCTCAGCACTCAAGGGAAAGGCGAGACGGATTTACATTCGACAACGTCTTGTGTGGTTTCTTAATATCTTACCCAAAACAATGACACGAGTCACGTAGTCTAATTTTTTAGGGGGTGGTAGATAGGCTTACAGACAGGTTCTAAGAATATCTTGGGTAAAGAAAAGAACAAATGCATCCATACTTCAAGAGCTGAATATTGAAGAGGGTTGGCTAGTAAAGACAATAAAACAAAGAAAATTGAAATATTTTGGTCACTTGAAACGTCATGGAAGTCTAGAGAGATCAATAATGGAGGGGTATATGCCTGGGAAGAGAGGAAGAGGAAGGCCAAGGAGAAGATGGGTGCAGGATGTGGCAGATGATCTCCAGATGGGTGTATCAGACGCAGGACATCTTGCTCAGGATAGGAAGGTTTTCCGGAGGGTTGTTATGGCAGCGAGGTTCGCGAGGGACATGCTACTGAATGAATGAATGAATGGTAGATAGGCTGCTTGCAGTAGTGGGACCTAGGCTTCATGCAGTCATGGGACTTAGGCTGCACTCTCTCTTGAGACGCAGGTGGGTTAGGGTTAGGGCCATATCTAGATGTTGTGGGGTCGTTAAAAGCATTAGAAAGCCGGAAAACCTAGTCTTACTACCCTCTAAAATGTTTGACTGTCCTGTGACCTTATCTGGGGTAGGATACTACGAAAGAAGTGCTGCTGGAACTCTTCCCTAGTTGCTGAAGATAGGGACTGATTGCTCATGGGAGCGTCCCCAGTGCTGTGATCTCAATTCCTAATTCAACGTTCAACATTTAATTCTCAACTGAAGAAACTCCCCGTGTCAGTTATGGGACCCCATTGTACGGGAGTAAGAACAGACCATCTGACTACTGAAAAGCATCGTGTGAGTTGACTAATTAGGGGCTTTCTTTTAAGTCAGTTTGCATCTGCCTGAGAGGCAAGGGACAAATAAATAGTCTGCATAGAAATAAGCCAGATCTATAGATCAAAGATGTGTACGCAACCCTCCGGTTCTGGAACAGGGCTAAAGTCCGTAGGTAGACGAACAACCAGGACAGTTCGCTGGCGTTTAAAGCTGGTTATGGCACGGAAGAGGGTTAGGAAATTTGCTTTTCTTAAAAGCTTGCACCAGGGCATCTGTGAAAATGGCAATTCGTTTGCAGTTAGGGCTAGGAGTTTGTATCAGTTTAGCAGTCTTAAATATATGGTGTATAAACAGGAGCACATTTACTAGTGGGTATATACTGTGTGTCACCGATGTTGCCTTGTGTTGCAGCTAAATACGATAAAAATGTAAGCACCTATATCCTTAACAACATGTATCCACGACTATTCCGGATATTTTCCAGGATCAGAAGCCAGCTGATCGTTTTTTGCAGGTCAGTGGATCCAGTCTGCGGACCACTGATAAGGGTTTTAATGTGTAGCTCCGAAGATGCAAAGCAAAGAGTAGGTAGTAGCAATGCTGTTCTTACATAGACATCTCATTGATCTCCCCCCCCCCCCCCCTCGCTTTTTTCCGAATAAACTTTATCCCCCAAAGAAGCATTTGCACTAAACCATACCATGCTAGATCTTCCTATTCTATGCTCAGATACAACTAGTCGTCTTCATCTTGCAACCTTACTCTCTTGTTTCCTTCAGTAAGGTGCTTTTGATCTATCTTTTTTCCCCCCTCTGTGTATTCCAGGATAACGCCATTCTAGTTACACCGTTCTCATGAACGGCTACATAGGATTAATATGGTCATGGCCAGATGTAATATGCGTTTGGATGCCAAGTGTGAGACCGTTTAAAAATACAGTTAACTGTATGCCTGCTACTGCCTTTTAAATTCTTTCGCCTGATGGACAAAGCTGCTACGTCTGAGACATCCCATTACCAGGTCATGTGATCTTAATTTCACTGGTCCTGACTCCGTAATCGTATATTTATCAATCCATTTTGTTTACCGCTACTTTTGGCGAACAGGACCTCTGAGGAGAGAGACCGATATATACAGGATAACATCTACATAGAGGTTATGATCCCTTTTTACGCCCTTCGGCTCATCGGTCACATGGAAAGAGCACGAATATTTTTACAGAGCAATCGGCACAAGGTGGGTAATGTGGTCAGCATTACGCCGGCCGTCTTTACTTTCCCAGGACATCCATCCTGATACCCATTTAAGGCTGGGTCGAACTGCGACGCCCCATACTATATTAAAAGTTTACAAAACAAGCAGTGGGTTTCGATCGCAGTACGTTGGAATTACGAGTCGGACTAAGCCACGGACGCTAAAATATTTCAATAATACAACACAATTAAGGAAAAAACGTGAAGAACCCGTTCCATGCCACTAGCTATTGAGTATTCAGTGCTAGACCTATATTTAGTATAGTCCAATCGACACTGTGGAGATGTGGTAAACATCACGCCAACCTCCTTTACTTCTATTAATTTCACCTAGTACTTTGAAAGCGAAGTCAACTTGGGAGCTAAGTCATAAGAAAAATAAAATCCACCCTGATGTGAATTGAACCCACGACATTGAGTTCTACAGGCGAAGCTGTAGCCACTACACATGGATGGCTCCAACAATAAAATTGTTAGGGTAACAAAGTAACACAGCTTTTCTCTAAATGGGATGCAGATGTAGCGTGGGAGAAGAAGGCAATGTTAGATACAAGTACGGTCAGCTTTTCTGGCGAAAGGCAACAGTGAGAAAAAACTGCACCTTGGTTTTTTAATACATCAATTTTATCTACAGCAACATCCAAGACTGGGGCCCTCACTTATGTCGCATTTGACGACTACATGACCGTTCAGGGGGAACCTGTAGAGGATGCAGCGTTTGCCAAATCGCATTTTGATAAAATCGTTGGAGGGACCGAAGTCAAATATGGTGAAATCCCCTGGCAGGCCTTTGTGAGGTTTACCAACGGAACTCATATTACTGGCATGTGTGGAGCTGTAATAATAGATCATTTGTGGCTGCTCAGTGCCGCCCATTGTTTCGTGTGAGTAATCATACTACAGAATGTTTCACTGTTTATACAGCACTGTGACCCGCCCCCCCCCCCCCCAACACACACCAATTTTTATCTGGGTTTGTTTTTATTAAAACAACCAGTAGGCACAGTGATTCGGGTTCAGTTCTAGGCAGTACGTGTGATCTTCTCACCAATAAAGCACTAGTTTTTACACAGTTCCAGGACATACATGGAATAGTTTCTACACAGTTGCAGGACATAATGGAATAGTTTCTACACAGTTGCAGGACATAATGGAATAGTTTCTACACAGTTGCAGGACATAATGGAATAGTTTCTACACAGTTCCAGGACATACATGGAATAGTTTCTACACAGTTCCAGGACATAATGGAATAGTTTCTACACAGTTCCAGGACATACATGGAATAGTTTCTACACAGTTCCAGGACATTATGGAATAGTTTCTATGATTTTGAATGTACGGGTCATCTCATGCTAGCCCATAAATTGTATAGGTCAGTCGATATCCAGTACGAGATGTGCATAATGTCCATTCATATAATTTATAGATCACTAGTATGATTGTAAGTGTATAATTAATTGCTAAAACAATTTTTAACAGCCGCTACCTCAGTCTCTCAGTGAGATTCATTCTGAATTGTGTCACGGGAACAGAGAGAACAAACATATTAGTAATTCTTCTTCCTCTTCTTCGTTCACGGGCTGTGAAGGTCCCGGTTAATCGTCCGATTGAACTTTTGGCTTTTACTTAGACCTGAGTTTTGCGCGTACAACCATTTTACTGGCTTTTGCCGTTCCCTGCCTCACGGGCAGATATACTCCGACTTCGAGGCAAGACGTCAGGCCTATTTCTAGGATGACTCTGGCCATATATTAGTAATAATAATGATGAACTACCGAGGAGTAGTAGTACTGATGTCACCAGTAATGTTTATTATGATGATTAGACATTTTTAGCTGATATAGCCATAGAATTGCAACAGCATTGCGTATCCACTTATGAAGAATCTAAAACAAAGAAATATGGGAATCAAAAAGGAATAGAAGAGTCATACGTAGCAGAATTAACCTGAAGTAGTGACCTTCCTAGGTATACAATACGCCATTTGAATACGTGACAACAATATTCTCGAAGAGGGCAGATTGGCTAAATAAACTAGCATTCGATGCAGTAGAGCTAGCTCTGTGATTAGCTACTTTTTAAATATGTGTCATACTTATTTCAACACTTTTAGATGTAATAAGTGCCTATGCTATTGTGCTTTCTCAGATAATATGTGATCATTTCCAAGTATCAGGTTAAGACAAAATGCATTTGAAATTGTCTTATGAACGGGTGTCGACTTCCAGATTAAAACACTGCACACCAGGGCTAGGTGTTGAAAACTCACTCATTTCAAAATAATGTTGTGCCACATTCTATCCCAGCTGCAGACGATCTGGAAGCAGAGCGTCTTGCGTTAGTTTCGACAGTGATATCGAGAGTCGACCGTTCAGTGCAATGACAGACTACTGAACGTAAATTTCCTTGAAAATTAACAAAGCCACACGCACACAAAAAATGCGGGGGTTGGTTTTGCTATGTCCTGTAAAATTCATGGGGTCATGTTGTTGCAAAAGGGGATCACCAGAGGATCGAGCCCAGTACAGAAAGATTTGTATTATAATGCAATTGATGATGATGTAAGGACCTCTTGAATTCTTTTCGTGCATATTTATGAGCAGTGCACATATGGGATAAATTCCTGCGGATTTCAAGTAACATTAGTATGAGCGCCAAGAAACATATTATGAACAGCATATTCATACCAGCACTTTGCTACTAGTACCAGTCTGCATCAGAGCAAACAGTAATTGTGTCAGACTCCATGAACATGCTTCAGAAGATAGCAACAGACGATATGCTTTCTGAATCGGTGGAAAACATTCGAAAGTCCCACTTAACCCCACCCTCTCCTGGATCTACACACTTGAATATGTGGGCGTAAATGGCAACGAGCGAGCAGACCAACTGTCAAGCAATGTACCAACGGATGTGGGAAGAAGCATGGACAGAGCAAATATCGTCAACGCTGTACGGATTGGCTTGGCTAGTGAATAATGACCAATCGCTTACCATAACACGATTGCTAGTTACATGGTAGTAAAGCATGGTGAAGCACGTCTATGTTACTTTTGAGACCGACATAGGAAACAATATAAACAACTACTCAAAGAAACATTTAGTAGAAGTAGCTTGGAGTGGTTGCTGCATCGGAGGACAAAACACGCATGGGAAATCCCAGTGTTCAGTGATTGTGATGAGAGAACATTAGATACTATCAGAGGCTAACGTAGGTCAAATTAACACATGTGAAATGAGATTTCGGAGAAAAGCTGCCAACTTTACCATCCGAAAGGAAGTTAGAACTGATATTATCAGCCAGTCTGTGGGAATTACCCTATGCAGCAAATTCGTTAAGAAACATTAATGGAAATGGATTTAGTGATCTATTAAGAATACAGCACAAACACCTACCAACGCAGGCACTACACAGGTAAAGTTCGGATATAAAAGCAAGAGGCCGCAACAAGAGATAAGGACTGATGACATTGAAGTGTCACTATATTGACACAGAATGACAACATCCAATGTTGCTTATTAAGCAATTAAACGCATACTGTTTCTCCTCACGCCGCCTAACGATGATTGTTAATATTATACACATTCTTTACATCCTGTCTATAAACTTAAAAAGTTTTTGATATGATTTTTTTTTCCTTCTTAGTCCACATCTAGTTTTGGGGGCAGCCGTGCAATATCGCCTAGACTTTCACCTGCGGATAGAAAGCTCATAAGTTCAATCTAAAACAGTCAGATGTTTTCGGTTTTGTTTTTTGAAAACTTGACTGGCTCCCAGGTCGACTCAGACTTAGATGGCTACCACGTAAACTCCTGGAAAATTAGGAAGTCTAGTATGGTTTTGACATCATCATTGGAGTGTGGAGTTGTTTATAAAATATAAGTCTGACAACATATAAACAATACTCGCACCCATACACCCTTTTTTAAAAATCCCCCAATACCTGAAATATCTATTGTGGATGACTCAAATCTGGGAATTCAACAGTCACTGCAAAGAAACAAAATAATGACTCTACACAAGTATTAATTAGCCACTTTTTCTTTATGGAGCAGAATGCTGTAGAATGAACAAAGAGGAAGGACACAAGCTATCCACTTTCCACTATACATGCCTACGTAGAATTATCAAACATTTTCTGACCTATACAATTTCAAGCCCTAAAGTACTTAAAGTCACAAACTAAAATCTCTAGACAGTATGAGAAAATGAAAATGCTTAGCTACGTCATAAAGATGAATCCTGACATACCTGCGTAAACAGCTCTCACTTGGACACCAGAGGATAGGAAAAAGAAAGGCCGCCAAAAAACAAAATGGAGACGAACGATAGAAAGTGAACTGACTGCTTTCTTTCTCATATAGAAAAACTAACTGCACTAAAGATTGCAAAAGACAGGAATGCGATAAAGTCCTCTCTGAGGCCTCATGTTCCAATGAGCATAAAGAGAACTGAATTATCATTCCTGAAACTGTTTATCGTGAATATCGCATTTGTGCAGCTTCTGCTTCGTTGTTTTTCTTTAGTTCTTCTTTCCAGATTCAGCCGGCGGGCCGCCAGTTGGATCGCCCTGCTCTAGATGGATCCTCTCATTGGTATCACTGTCCATATCTTGCCCTTTTGCTTTAAACTTCCCGTCTCCCACCTTTTTTCACGGTTTGGTTCTTATACAATTCTTATACTTTGACTAGCTCAGAAATATTTTATTCTCCTAAATAATTTCATTCAACAATTCTCATTTTCATTCGCAGTCTTTTGGAACCTTTGTATTTCATGAAATTATTGCACTGAACAATGGTGATATTTTGGGACAAGTACAGAAATTAAGGTATCTGGGCGCATGGATAACATCAGATGGAAGATGCATTACTGCGATAAAAAACAGAATAGGACAGGCAACAACTGCATATATATATATATATATATATATATATATATATATATATATATATATATATATATATATATATGGGGATCATGTGAATATTTCAAATGTTTTTGCTACTCACTACAGTAGTGACTTTGTGATACTTTCAGTGAGGTGCAGTATCAGTTCATTTTAACCGTTGGAGAATACAGTTTACAAAGTGTAGATACGCATGAAGTGATGTTTGCTGTGGCTAAAATATACCCTCATGAGCGTTATGATGGTGAGTACTTTGTCTTGTGCGTAGCATCGGCACCAACACAAAGAAAACAATTTTTAGGAAAGGCGCACAGTCCCCTTATCAATTGTCTAGGATTAGGGAGAAAAGATGTAAAAGATTAACCGAGCCTTGCTCAAGAGTGCAATAATAATCTTATTTTTTTATTATGTGCTGATTAAAAAATAAATGTAATAATATATTCTAAATAACAGGAAACAAATAAATTAGTGAAAGCAATGTTTCCCAGTTGTAAATTTGAGTAAAGAAGTTACAAACACTAGATTTCCCAGTTTATTGTTGACATATGTCGCGGTATCTCGTCAGGTGTATACTACAGTAACAATAACATAAATGAAGCAAATAAGTGAAGTGTTGTTCTTCAGTCATAAAGAATTCACTCGGATGGGGGGAGGGTGGGGGGTTTGAAGTCAGTGGTCTGTGGAGGGGGCCTTATCACTCCTTTCCCATCCCAACTATTGAGTCATGGAGGCTTAAAGTATATAAGTTCCCAGACTCTGATGTCCTTGAAATGTGGCAGATCTACAGTATTAACATAGAACGGAACTGGACACCTAACCCAATACGAAGTTAATCAAAATATGTGAAGCGAACGTGACCATAGTGTCTGTAAATTGTCCAGCTTCAAGATTACAAGTGGAAGATTTAATTATTATTAAATGACCTAATGAGACATTACTTTGATGATAAAATCCTACGAAAACACATTCCAGAGACTTCAATTAATTGTGTTGAAAAACAAAAAACTGTTACTGCTGTCTTTTTTACCACTTTTTGTGAGTAGTGATGGGCGCCTTAAGGATGAGAATCTAGCGCCGCCTGGCTAGTGCTGTCTCCGCAGACTGTGCAGGTTTTGATGTTTAGTTTTGCCCCTGAAAGAAAATCTCAATCACCTAACCAGGGGTTGAACTCGGGTCACCAGCATGAGAGCCTGACTGTATAATCGTTTGGGCAACCGCTCCTCATAAAACTGTGTAGGAGTAAGTAATGATCCCTCCTCCCGCCTGTACGAGCCTCGGACATATGGGTTGGACTACCGTGGTCGAGTTTATGCTTGTCGCAGTCTGTTGCTGTCTTGCATTTACATTTTTCTTTCCGAGAAAGAGACGGCCTGTGGCATACGTTTTGTCACTCTCTAGGGTGGAAAAAGGGGAGATGGGGTTGTGTGTTAGACCCAGTATCTAAACGTTTTAGAAGTGTTAACAGCTCTGGCATTGTGAAATATACAACACGTGGTATCAGCGCGAGTGCGGAATATCCCTGTGACCTTGTGTGAAATTCGGATCGCTAGAGGCCGACCTATCAGGAGTGAGGTGGTATGTAAGTCGATCAATCAGAAGCAAGCTAGTGTGTAGCGGTGTGCAAATAGGGAGACCAGCGTAAAATTTACCTGTAATTAATTGCCAGGTATCCTGCAGCCCGATGTGCAACGTCCTTGGCTAAGGCGTTGCGAGTCCCACTCGAAATTCCAACGTAACGCGATCGAAACCCACTGGATTTTTATCATGGTATGGGGCGTCGCAGGTCGACCCAGCCTAAAATGGGTACCAGGATGGCTGTTCTGAGGAAATAAAGACAGCACGTGCAATGCTAATCACATGACCCACCTAGTGCTGATTGGTTTGTAAAAATGTGGGTGCTCCTTCCAATTACCCGATGCACCTAAAGGCGTGAAAATTGATCTTTTCTTTACTTGCTGAAGCCCGCTGTATCTGGGTAGACTGTTAAAGTTCCAATTCCATTCCAATTCGTCCAACAAAAATTCCAAATTTGACCCTTTTTCAGCCGCCCGGAGGCCTGCTATATGAAGTACGGTTCCTTGGCTGTCTTATTTGATTTCCTTTTATTTGTGGTCACACCTGATATTCCGGTTCTTTGCTTCCTTGCTGCAGTGTAGTGCTTGTGGTTGTTGGGTCTGGTGTGGTCCAGTTCTCTTTGTGATGATATCTACAGGTATTAGCTGAAACTACTGTTAAAGTGCACCTCAGCTCCTATTTATGGGCTAGATCAGTGTTTCCCAAACTTGTCTTTGTCGCGTCGTTTTTTTTTTTTTTAAATTTTTATTATTAACATTTTTCAACGGCCCCAAAACCTTAGAAAAAAGTATGACTTCGTATGTAAAAGAGAAACAAGAAACAACTGGTGTATCTTCGAATATTTTGTGGCGCCCCTGTGAAGAAGTCGCGGCTCCCCGAGGGCCAGTTTGGGAATAACTGGGCGAGGTTGGTTATATGTATGAGACGGGAAACGTGCTTTGAAAATAGGGAAGTTAGTTGCGTATCCTTTAAAGGACGTTGCAGAACCAACACCATCACTTGTTAACTGCTGTCGCTTTTTTAGGCAAATTTTTACCTGCAGTAATTTTCCATTGCTTTCTGCACGGTCAGCGCTCGGCCCTAATGTCGATACCAACGCAAGAAAAACGGTCAGCTGCTGGATCGAACAGATAAGCCATTAGCTCGGCGATAACTTTCTTAGTCTAATACTGTAATTTGTGATTTAGACTGTCTTCTCTGAATCTCCAGTTAATAGTAACGACAATGACATTGCGTTAATCCGAATCAAACCTGGGAGTGCTGGCAGAGGCATCATCTACAACAGATTTGTTCAACCTATCGGTCTGCTTAGTTCAACCACGTCTCTACAAGTGGGAGCTATACTGGAAGTTTCTGGATGGGGCGGGATGCTGAAATGCTTGAACTGCACAGCTGGTAAATATTGTGATCTAGACAGTTATAATATAAAGACTAGAGACTTGCAATTTGGTGTGGATACTCCTTGTACAATATTATAGGGTCAGGTCTATTTAAAAGAACAGTTTAATAATTCTTTTTTTTTTTTTAAATTAATTATTATCGTACAAGGCCACATTTTTTTACCTTTTTAACATATCTAAATTTTAATATTCAAAGAAAATTATTTAGAAACAACTTTAATGGTAATAAGCTAGACATGACCCTAAAAGTAAGTTTAAAGTTCATGAATCAATCATCTATTTCTCAATACCTGTGTTTTTGCAATTTTAGCAGTCTAAGTACATGTTTTTTTTAAAATCAAGATGGCGGCTGTAGCTAAGGCAACCATGTTTTTTTTTTTAAATATAAAGTGTACACATGATTTAACATACATCTCTACAAACGACCATTATAAAATAAATGGTCTAACGTTGTAAAAAAAAAAAAAAAATACAAATTACTGTAGTGACCCCTTAATATTATCAGTCAGTGCCGACTAACGTTATTACTAAAGTTCAGGGCATCACAATCTGAAAGTTCCTTTCTCTTTTTAAAAATGCAATTTTTTCCCCTACATAAATATTATAATGTTATTATTATGATTGTGGGTATATTATTTTATTTGTTCAACATGTATGTTTTAAAGCTTTCTGCGATTAGGTGCTGTAATTTAAAAACGGTGAGGACCTCATGATTTTTTTAGCATAGGGTCTCTTAACTTAGGTTCATTCCAGCAGTCTGTACACAAAGATCTAGAGCACACATACAACACAAACTACTATATCTAAACGCCAACACCGCTACACAAATACACAGTTGCCAGACACATCAAAAGGTTTATAGCCTTGTGGTTGTATATGTATGTATGTATGTATGTAATGTATGTATTGTATGTATGTATGTATGTATTATGTATGTCTGTATGTATGTATGTCTGTAGCATGTATGTATGTCTGTCTGTCTGGTATGTATGTATGTCTATCTGTATGTATGTATGTATGTATGTATGTATGTATGTATGTATGTATGTATGTATGTATGTGTTGTATGTATGTATGTATGTATGTTATGTATGTATGTATGTTATGTCTGTATGTATGTATGTATGTATGTCTGTATGTATGTATGTATGTATGTATGTATGTATGTATGTATGTATGTATGTATGTATGTATGTATGTCTGTATGTACCGTATGTATGTATGTATGTATGTCTGTTCTGTGTGTATGTATGTATGTATGTATGTATCTGTAAAACGGATGTACATTAAAACCTCAGGGATATTGGTAATCATAGACCACATGCACAAATTTGTTTTAATCCGTGGAAGATTTTTGGAACAATGTGTCAAAGTGTGACTGCATCAACTTTGAAACGCACTGTAAGTTACTTTGTTCACTGAAAATAAAATAATCAGTTCACATTTCTGGGTAACGTGCGTGTGATCTTTCCTGGACGTCCGCGCCCATGCACTTATTGAAAAGACTTGCTGTAGCTTGTGGGGTCTGGACGTCCTCTGAGTCAAGAATTGCCATCACAGCACTCATGGCATTCCCATGCATGTTCCGTTGTAATCGTCAGCAGCAAAAGAAACTTTAGAGTCCCAAGACAAGAAGAAGAAGGTCTGGCGTCGTCCAACCTGCGTCGTACATCTGGCGTAGTCCGTCTGGGAGGGTCTGCCCGGCAGGGATTGTCCGGCGGCGTCCGTTCGACGGCGATCGTCCGGAGGCGCCCGTCCGGCGGCGTCCTTCCGGCGGCGTCCGTCCGGCGGCGTCCGTGCGGCGGCGTCCGTCCGGCGTCGACCGTGCGGCGGCGTCCGTTCAGCATCGTCTGTGCGGCGTCGTACGTACGCGGCGTCCGTTCGGCGTCGTCAGTACGGCGTCGTCCGTGCGGCGTCGTCCGTCCGGCGTCGTCCGTGCGGCGTCGTCCGTCCGGCGTCGTCTGACCGGCGTCGTCCGTCCGGCGTCGTCCGTCTGGCGTCGTCTCTCCTGCAAGTCGGTGAAGCGTCGTCCGTTTGGCGTCGTCTGTCCTGCAAGACCGTTTGGCGTTGTCCGTCCGGCGACGTCCGTTCGGCGGCGTCCGTCCGGAGGCGTCTGTCCGGCGGCGTCTGTCCGGCGGCGTCCGTCCGGTGGCGTCCGTCCGGCGGCGTCCGTACGGCGGCGTCCGTCCGGCGTCGACCGTGCGGCGGCGTCCGTACGGCGGCGTCGTACGTCGTCGGCGTTCGCGGCGTCGACCGTGCGGCAGCGTCCGTTCAGCATCGTCTGTGCGGCGTCGTACGTACGGCGGCGTTCGTTCGGCGTCGTCCGTACGGCGTCGTCTGTGCGGCGTCGTCCGTGCGGCGTCGTCCGAGCGGCGTCGTCCGTGCGGCGTCATCCGTGCGGCGTCGTTCGTCCGGCGTCGTCCGTCCGGCGTCGTCCGTCTGGCGTCGTCTCTCCTGCAAGTCGGTGCTGCGTCGTCCGTCTGGCGTCGTCTGTGCTGCAAGTCCGTCCGGCGTTATCCGTCCGGCGATGTCCGTTCGGCGGCGTCCGTCCGGAGGCGTCCGTCTGGAGGCGTCCGTCCGGCGGCGTCCGTCAGGCGGCGTCCGTCCGGCGGCGTCCGTGCGGCGGCGTCCGTCCGGCGTCGACCGTGCGGCGGCGTCCGTTCAGCATCGTCTGTGCGGCGTCGTACGTACTGCGGCGTCCGTTCGGCGTCGTCAGTACGGCGTCGTCCGTGCGGCGTCGTCCGTCCGGCGTCGTCCGTGCGGCGTCGTCCATCCGGCGTCGTCTGACAGACGTCGTCCGTCCGGCGTCGTCCGTCTGGCGTCGTCTCTCCTGCAAGTCGGTGCTGCGTCGTCCGTCTGGCGTCGTCCGTCCGGAGGCGTCCTTCCGGCGGCGTTCGTCCGGCGGCGTCCGTCCGGTGGCGTCCGTCCGGCGGCGTCCGTACGGCGGCGTCCGTCCGGCATCGACCGTGCGGCGGCGTCCGTTCAGCATCGTCTGTACGGCGTCGTCCGTCTGGCGTCGTCCGTCCGGAGGCGTCCTTCCGGCGGCGTTCGTCCGGTGGCATCCTTCCGGCGGCGTTCGTCCGGCGGCGTCCGTCCGGTGGCGTCCGTCCGGCGGCGTCCGTACGGCGGCGTCCGTCCGGCATCGTCCGTGCGGCGTCGTCCGTGCGGCGTCGTCCGTGCGGCGTCGTTCGTCTGGCGTCGTCCGTCCGGCGTCGTATGTCTGGCGTCGTCTCTCCTGCAAGTCGGTGCTGCGTCGTCCGTCTGGCGTCGTCTGTCCTGCAAGTCCGTTTGGCGTTATCCGTCCGGCGACGTCCGTTCGGCAGCGTCCGTCCGGAGGCGTCCGTCCGGAGGCGTCCGTCCGGCGGCGTCCGTCAGGCGGCGTCCGTCCGGCGGCGTCCGTGCGGCGGCGTCCGTCCGGCGTCGACCGTGCGGCGGCGTCCTTTCAGCATCGTCTGTGCGGCGTCGTACGTACGGCGGCGTCCGTTCGGCGTCGTCTGTGCGGCGTCGTCCGTCCGGCGTCGTCCGTGCGGCGTCGTCCGTCCGGCGTCGTCTGACCGGCGTCGTCCGTCCGGCGTCGTCCGTCTGGCGTCGTCTCTCCTGCAAGTCGGTGCTGCGTCGTCCATCTGGCGTCGTCCGTCCGGCGGCCTCCGTCCGGCGGCGTCCGTCCGGCGGCGTCCGTCCGGCGGCGTCCGTCCGGTGGCGTCCGTCCGGCGGCGTCCGTACGGCGGCGTCCGTCCGGCATCGACCGTGCGACGGCGTCCGTTCAGCATCGTCTGTACGGCGTCGTCCGTGCGGCGTCGTCCGAGCGGCGTCGTCCGTGCAGCGTCGTCCGTGCGGCGTCGTTCGTCCGGCGTCGTCCGTCCGGCGTCGTCCGTCTGGCGTCGTCTCTCCTGCAAGTCAGTGCTGCGTCGTCCGTCTGGCGTCGTCTGTCCTGCAAGTCCGTCCGGCGTTATCCGTCCGGCGACGTCTGTTCGGCGGCGTCAGTCTGGAGGCGTCCGTCCGGAGGCGTCCGTCCGGAGGCGTCCGTCCGGCGGCGTCCGTCCGGTGGCGTCCGTACGGCGGCGTCCGTCCGGCGGCGTCCGTCCGGCGTCGACCGTGCCACGGCGTCCGTTCAGCATCGTCTGTGCGGCGTCGTACGTACGGTGGCGTCCGTTCGGCGTCGTCCGTGCGGCGTCGTCCGTGCGGCGTCGTCCGTCCGGCGTCGTCTGTCCGGCGTCGTCCGTCTGGCGTCGTCTCTCCTGCAAGTCGGTGCTGCGTCGTCCGTCTGGCGACGTCTGTCCTTCAAGTCCGTCCGGCGTTGTTCGTCCGGCGGCGTCCGTCTGGCGGCGACAGTCCGGCGGCGTCCGTCCGGCGTCGACTGTGCGGTGTCGCACGTACGGCGGCGTCCGTTTGGCGTCGTCCGCATGGCGTCGTCCGTGCGGCGTCGTCCGTGCGGCGTCGTCCGTGCGGCGTCGTCCGTCTGGCGTCATCCGTCTGGCGTCGTCCGTCTGGCGTCGTCTCTCCTGCAAGTCGGTGCTGCGTCGTCCGTCTGGCGTCGTCTATCCTGCAAGTCCGTCCGGCGTTGTCCGGAGGCGTCCGTCCAGAGCCGTCCGTCCGTCGGCGTCCGTCCAGCGGCGTCCGGTCGGCGGCGTCCGTCCGGCGTCGACCGTGCGGCGGCGTCCGTTCAGCATCGTCTTTGCGGCGTCGTACGTACGGCGGCGTCCGTTCGGCGTCGTCTGTACGGCGTCGTCCGTGCGGCGTCGTCCGCCTGGCGTCGTCTTTCCTGCAAGTAGGTGCTGCGTCGTCTGTCTGCCGTCGTCTGTCCTGCAAGTCCGTCCGGCGTTGTCCGTCCGGCGACGTCCGTTCGGCAGCGTCCGTTCGGAGGCGTCCGTCCAGAAGCGTCCGTCCGGCGGCGTCTGTCCGGAGTCGACAGTGCGGCGGCGTCCTTTCAGCATCGTCCATGCATGCTTGCATGCATACATACATACATACATACATACATACATACATACATACATACATACATACATACATACATACATACATACATACATACATACATACATACATACATACATACATACATACATACATACATACATACATACATACATACATACATACATACATACATACATACATACATACATACATACATACATACATACATACATACATACATACATACATACATACATACATACATACATACATACATACATACATACATACATACATACACACATACACACATACATACATACATACATACATACATACATACATACATACATACATACATACATACATACATACATACATACATACATACATACATACATACATACATACATACATACAAACATACATACATACAAACATACATACATACATACATACATACATACATACATACATACATACATACATACATACATACATACATACATACATACATACATACATACATACATACATACATACATACATACATACATACATACATACATACATACATACATACATACATACATACATACATACATACATACATACATACATACATACATACATACATACATACATACATACATACATACATACATACATACATACATACATACATACATACATACATACATACATACATACATACATACATACATACATACATACATACATACATACATACATACATACATACATACATACATACATACATACATACATACATACATACATACATACATACATACATACATACATACATACATACATACATACATACATACATACATACATACATACATACATACATACATACATACATACATACATACATACATACATACATACATACATACATACATACATACATACATACATACATACATACATACATACATACATACATACATACATACATACATACATACATACATACATACATACATACATACATACATACATACATACATACATACATACATACATACATACATACATACATACATACATACATACATAAGCAATTCGAATTTTTCTAGTCTGCCACCGTTTCTCTGTCAGTTCATCCTTCGCTGCCTGATAGGCCGATGCACCATGCCTGAGGGATGTACACCATCCAGAGCGGTATTGTGCAGCAACCTCCAACGTCGCTGTGTTGATGCCAAAAGAATTTACAGCAGTCTTAATAGTGTCCTCAAAGCGCCTTTTCTGTCCTTCAAGGGATATCTTCCCTTGGTGGAGCTCGCCATAAAATACTCTCTTTGTCACGCGATATTCTGGCATGATGCAGGCTAGGTGACCAGCGCTACACAACTAATAGTTCTTCAATTTGGGTTGATAGCTGGATAGTTCAGTGAAAGTGACTAGCACAAGGACTTGGATTTAAGTGAGGAAGAGTTGCGCAATTCTTTGACCTCACTCTCTCGCCTGTGTCCATCTTGTAGAGACGGTTGGAAAAAGACCTAAATACAGTGGATGACAAAGGCGTCTTAAGTGTCCTGCCTTGCTTGAAGCTCTCCACAGAGCATGCTGGTAATCACCTTCTTGTCAGCTGAACCAATAAGAGGTTTTATTTGTAGAATCCGTCGAGTCCAGCCTTTGCGTGTAAGGTAGGCATATCCCAATCACCGAGTGGTTTAGAACCAGGTCGGCTACCCTCTCTTGGTTTAGCTAGCCAGTCAAAGCTGTAACCCGGGGGTGGCCACTGTCGCATACTGACAGCTGTTGGGAGCCATAGGAGAGAGCTAAGTTTCATACCTTGCCCAGTGGTGTGAACTGCCCTAAGAAATACATGACGGTCACCTTGCTAAAAAGGCCCAAAAAAAAAACAAAAAAACACACACACACATTCACACGCATACGAACATACACACATGCATGCATACATACTCACACATGCAATTACACTTTATATAATTTTATTAACAGAACCTCAAGAACTCCCAGCTGTGCTGATGAAAACTAGAGTCCCCACCATTGGTCAAGCACAATGTAAACAATTGTACATCAACTACACGATCACTGACCGCATGTTTTGTGCTGGCTGGATGGACGGAAGGTCCGACTCTTGTGTTGGGGACAGTGGTGGCCCAATTGTCTATAGATCTGTAGGTGAGTTTTTTTTAAAAATCACGTTCCCCCTCCGCACAGAGTTGTGCACAGAGCTGCGCAGAGAGCGCGCACAAGGCTCGTGTAGTCGTTACGGGTAATAGGAACATTAGTCTCCCCACGGACCGCACATATACACACTAGCTCACTTCTGATTCGTCGACCTTTAGCCTAGGTCACTTCTGATTTGTCGACCTTGAGTCACGCGTCTTTGGCAAGAGGTCACGGGGGTGTTCTGCAATTACGTTGATATCGCCTGTTGTATATTTCAACATGCCGGTGTTTTCAACACTCCGAAAACATTGACAAACTGGGTCTAACACACAATCCCTTTAGAGAGTAATGAAACCTATTTAAAAGGCATTTTCGTTCTGGGAATAAAAAGGTAAATGCAAGACAACACAGATAGCAAACAAGAGCGACACACCCGAGGCCACCAGCAAAGTAGACCAGTCAAACAGAGTTGTCAATGGTACGTCATCTACTTAGTGTGGGGAGATAAACGTTTCATTTGACCCTGGTAATTGTGGCAGAACAAAATGGAGCTTTTTTATCCACAATGTCAAGCATGAAGATGGAAGTGGAAGTAATCACTGAAGCACTGAATTGGATGGCAGAAAACGAAGTTACTAGAGGAATTATTGAGTCTAATTCTTAGGTGGCGCTGCGGAAGTTTCAAAATTGACTAATGTGGCATGAGTGGATACGGTGTATCAGTACGCAAACATTGCAGCGAATTATGTGGATATACTGTCCGGGATATGCAGGAATGCGAGGGAATGAAAGAGGGGATTTTCTGGACACAAAAGCGAAAGCTGCGAAACACTAGTAGTTAATAATGGGGGTATTCCATATATTCCAGATACCATATATGAACGACTGTTGACAGAAGACACGAGATTAGATGAAATTTCATGTGCACGAATGTGTGAACGAGAAATAAAAAGAGGATCTAACAAGGCGGGACGAATGAGAGGAAGAGAACAAAGCTGTGTATAATTAGTGTGCTACAGGAACAGTTAGCATCTAAACCTAAGACATCTGCTGCGGAAGACGAAGCATCTGTGGGTATTCTATGTGAGCTATAATGTCGATTCTTAAATCAGTAATCAGAAGTGACAAACTGGAATTGACGGTAATAAAGAACATTTTTCAACAAAACAACTTAGAGACTCGTTTTGGATGATTCAATGAAAAGCCTTCACTCGTCTGGCCTGTAACTGCTTTTTAGGGCTGCCATTAGCACAAAAAATGTTTGATATGCAGAAAGGTCACTTTCCTTTGAAAAATAAAACACAAATAGATTCTGCATTCTGTAATTGGTCATAAACAATTCCTGATCACTTTGATGAATAATATATGTACATTGCGGGGCAATTAAATTAGTATGGTCTGTTTTAATTTATTCTACTTTGAAATAAAAAAAAAATAAAAATAAAAAAAGCAATACCACCCCCTGGGTCTCTGATGCTAAACCCCCTGGGACTCAAAGATTTGGGCGGCTTCTGTGGGTTGCTATATTCATAAATTCTAAAATCTACTGCCAGAAGATTCCGCTGTTGCAATCTGGAACCCCTAAAGCTCTACTTTGTTTTTCGGTAAGTTCAAATCTATTAAAAGATCATTCTGGCATGTTGGGTACTGGTAGGTCATCGCTATGGGGTACCAAACGTATTGCAGAGGGGATGTTAGGATACTTCAGCGTCCATTTCTTCTTCTTTGATATGCCTTTTTCCAATTGGAGGGACAATGCAAAAGTAAGAGTTGCTGAGATGATCATTGGTCTCTCTCGAAATCACTGGGACAGTAAAAGACATAGCTTGTCTTTTGCTAGTCAGCCACAGTTAAAGATTTGCTGCGCATGAATTGTAGCATATGTGTGGCGCCCAGCTCTTTTTGTGATCTTCTATCCTGCAGCCAACATGCAAAATATGTTCCTTTTTCAATCAGTTTAGTTATTTTTTCAAATGTGTGACATAAATTTCACTTTACCACATACGCAACAGAAGGTAACAGCCTTTTCACATATGCCGTAAGCATTTGCAACTATGATAGTATCAATAAAGATTAGGACACTGGCTATTAATAGCAACATTTTGTCAGAGTTAAGATATTTTACATAAAGGTGATGTAATAACGGGTAGGACTGCATCTGCAACTTCTGGTTAAAGTTTTTTTTTTTTTTTTTTTTTTTTTTTTTTAAAAAAAACATTTTACTGGCCACAACTGTTGCGTCAAATACTTATAATTTGATCCTTACCTAAGTAACCAAATAGCATTAACTTGACAACTAGGGCCAATCAAAATTTTAAAACGTCGTTTTTCGTTTTCCGTACACAAAAATTAGTTAAGATGAGCAAGTTTTATTTCTGGTACATTTTGATTGTTGATTAGAGAGGGGGTGGGAGGAAAGGGGGGGGGGGCGTGGTCTCGAGGCATGGCTTTCGCAAAAATAATTAAGGATCCTCGTTGGTGATACAGAGCTCGTGCACTGCTCTGAGATTCTTAGGTCTCAGGCTTGAGTTAGACGTTTAATGGAGCACTTATGGGTTACCACTCGTGTGCCATAATGTTGATTCCTTGTTTGAACCTAAACCTAGTGTTACTGGTGGAAACAAAACTACTACAAGAAATAGCACCTTGTAATTTCGATGAGGAATTAGCTTTGATATAATGTAAAAAAGTAATAGTAAAGTCGGCAGATGTGGACCAGCGTCATTGCATACAGTTATAAACCGTAAATGCTCTGCCACCAGTACTGACAGCACATACGAAACTGATCACCTGTGTCGCCGTCCGCACGCAACTCCGTAGCTAAAGCGTCGTTCCTTAATTGACCCCAGAGTTTTAACTCTGGTACCTATTACCTAGAGGGTGGTTTAACCACCGGAACCCCCCGGTTTCAATCATTGGCCGAGGGCTGCAGAGAAGCGCAGCTGGATTTGAAAGCCGGTCTCCTATCGACTGCACTAACACAGCCCCTTTTGATACAATGTGCACAACTTAAGGCATATCTTTCTACTTCCAGATTCGAGTGTGTTGGTTGGTATTGTTTCTTGGGGACGAGGATGTGGCCAAGAGAACATCCCCGGTGTGTACACTCGAGTCTCTTCTTTTCTAACCTGGATTCAGAAAACGACGAAGTCTTACAATCTACGTTATCAACAAGATGGCACTCAACCAAGGCTTGAGTAAAACTTTAAAGTCTGGAACTCAAAATTTCACTTTCAATAAACCCCAAGTAATACAATCAACTCTACAAGTCTCAACTTCAGTTATAAATCATAATAACGAGGACACAAACAACTATTGCAAAATTTTTTGCCACGCGCATTGTAATGTTTGTGTCTGCATTATTAAAATTTAATTATATTAAAAAAAAAAAAAAAAAAAAAAAGAAATAAAACTAACAGTTTAAATGTCTGTATTTGCAAACCAGTATGTATAGCTTTGTAAAGCCACAAAAATTACAAATTTAAACTGTTATTTCAACAAAGAATTGGTAAACAAATACATTTTAAAAATCTAAATTCTCATCCACAACAACATGTATAGAGCTAAAATTATCAGAAGTCAAAATTATCACCAAAGTATCATTCCAACAAAGCCTTAGTTACATGAAAGAATTTGTGATTCTATATGATCATTAAAACAAAGCCTGCTGAATAATTACGTTAAACAGCCTATATTAGTTATTCAACAAATCCGCAGTTATAATATAGTCTAAATGTGCACTCTAGCACTCTTTAATAACAATCATGCGTTAGCGATTATGTACTTCGGTCAGTTTCCAGAACTTGACATATGCCTGCACATCCGCTTTACAGATATGGCTATTGATGTGCAGACTGTTTGTGTCTTGCCTCTCATGCAAATGAACTCAGACTTCGAAATAAAAACCTTTAATTAGTTACCTATTACGATCTACTTTTTTTTTATTTTTTTTTTTTTTTTTTTTTTTTTTTTGGATTTGCGGTGGAGGGGAAGACGGGGGGGGGGGGGGGGAGTGTAGGGGAAGGGGGGGGGCAAGGGTCTATTCTTTATTTGTCCTCTCTCCTAAAAAGAGGTCCCGGAACCCACACGGGGAATTGCATTAAATAAGGTATGTTTTAATGCTGTTTTGGTAAACTGCTGGGTGGTCCTATTAAAGGTAGTGTTGGTAAAACCTTACATCTGATGCTGATGTTATCAATACTATACGTAGCACTTACCCCCGCCCCCCCCCCCCCCCCCAAAAAAAAAAGAAAATCAAAGGGCATCACTTCATAACCCTCTTCAGGCTGAGGACATCTGCAGTTGCATAAAATGAATTTTTCACCACAGGAAGAAGACGATTAATTAATTAACATACACAAAAGCCACCGTCAGTCGTGTCACGCTTTTAGAGATTCTGTGAAAAAGATGGGAAAACCTTTGGGTCCATTCCCGGCGCTGTGAAGATAAATCTTCGTTATTCACTAATCTAACGCTAAGCAGAAGACAAGATGGGCCAGCACTTTTAAGACGCATCGAATAGACCTTATCCACTAAAAAGTGATGGATAAAAAAAAAAGAAATAACAGAGCAAAACAGACCACATTAATAATACATATATGACAAACAAATAAAAGTGGCAATAACTTGCTAAGGAACATTTTTTAGTTCGACGTTAGTCTTCCCAACAAAGTAGGTCAGTTTTCATTAAGAACTTTGTTGGGCTAGTCCACTAACGTGGAAGTTACAACTGTGTCCCGCTCTCCTGTTTGGTTTCTTTGATGTCTTGCATTAAACTTTTCATTCCGTGAAAGAGAATGCCTGTGACATAGGTTTCGTTTCTGCACTCTTTGGGGTGTTTTGTCGATGATTTTGGTGTGTTAAAAGCGCTGCCGTGTTGAAAAATAGACAAGAGATATAAACGGTATTGCAGGAAACCCCTGTCACTTTGAAGCAATGTAGCCTGGCTCACGGTCGACCAATCAGAAGTGAGCTAGGCTAAAATTCGACCAAGCAGAAATGACATAGTGTGTAAGAGTGAGTAAATAGGGAGAAAAACATCAATATAACCGAAACATTAATCTAGCAGGTGATGTTGTGACTGCAAAAATGCTCCAGGCAGCTGGTGATATATCCATAGAAAACTGGAACGGTAACCACTGTCTTTATTCACTGTCGTGAAGTGAATCAACTCACCCCTGCACATTCGACTATTAGTGACGTTGGCACCCCTAGCGGGCAGGTTACATTTCAAATATAGACCCGTCCAGTGGGTTAATAGTCCCTCATATCTATTTATACCTTTATCTGGCGTAATAAGTATTTAATACGTCATTTTCTGTCTGACTGCCATGAAGAATCGATATTCCTAAATGTGCCTCGAGTTTCTCTGCTTTGAGGAGGCGGCCTTTTGTGCCTAGGAAATTTCATAAAGTTTGGGTAAGTTGATTATAGAGTGCGATTACCATGATATATGTTCTCTATGGAGTTAGCCGCTGCTAGATGGAGGAAAGATTCAGCTATGAGACAGCACAGAACAAGACCGTTCTTGGTGTCCCAGTATTCAGGGCCACTTAAACCAAACCTTTCCCTTTACAAGCTGACAGTATATGTCCTACCTGACCCCATATTATTGTAAATATTTTATTCGAGCAGGCGATCTTTCTCTAACTTATAGAGATCAGGTCGACATTTAAACCAGCAGATTTAACTGGGTCAAACTACAGCGAACAAAACGCTGTGACGTCAGAGGTTATTTTTAGCAGACACACAACACAGTGTCAACTACGGTCAGACTGTGGAGGTATAATATATGTGTGAGAGAGAGAGAGAGAGAGATGGGATGTATGTCTACAAGAGCAGATGGGAATGTGGAGAAAAGATGTCCTAAGTGTACTAGTGTCTGTCGATCTCCACTATAGAACTTGTCTCCTATCTCTTGTACTGACTGACAGACATAGATAAATGAAAATGTTACTGTCTCATTATCCTGAGAGCTATCCTCCGAGTGACTGAGAAGGGTGGAGGGAAATAAATTGAGCTGGGTATGTGACTCCTGATATGAATACTAATTCTACGTTCCTTCCTGACACAGGATGATATCTCCCTGGAAGTCAGACAGACGATCAACAGTCCAAACAACCACCATCCACAAATAGTGCCTAATACCACCACAACGTCAACATAGCAGGAGCTTGTGTGAGTTCCAGTGGCTAAGAGGCAGTGTGGCAGGCCACCCATTTGTCATCACTCAATGAGATCATTCTTCAGAAGCTTATGTGTGCTCTAGTGGCTAAAAGTTAGTGTTGCATGCCACCCATTTGTTATCCATCAAGTAGAACCTTCCTCAGGAGCTTTGTTAGGCTCCTGTCCCAGTTTAAGAACTCTGTTCCAGTAAATGAACTCTGTTCCAGCATAAGAATTTTCTTCCAGTAACTGAACCATGTGTGTGCCTGTGTTCACCAAGGCAATCGGCAAAAGGAGCAGTCCAACTGAATCAGCCTGCTCAGATCCACATGGACTGAGGAGAGCAGTGACATCCACCAACCGCAGATAAGTACATCTGGTACAATATACCTCATGCTCTTTTTACAGGTCTACCCTAAGTCGTGATGATGACAACTGATAACCTCAAAGACTGTTTTTGGCTGATTCAGCAGTGCTTCATGAACTTTAGTTCCCGAACTCCTTTCACAGGGGATCATCTTTAACTGTCTTAATATATATGTGTTGCATTTATTACATGCCGTTGGAAGTTTTCATTACTGACTTGGGTGTCCCTGTTTCACTGTGAGAACTGTCTAGCTTTTATGAATGTGTGATTATTACTCTTAATCTGTGTTAACATCGCTGTGGTATTACAATATCATAGCCTGGGAGTTAACTTTTTATAGTAGTGGGGGCGTCCAGCCAAGTTGCGCCTATGATTATTAGATATTCTGTAGTGCCATAACTTGAGTTGCCCTACTCCTGAAATAGGTTATACGTATTTTGGCCACAGGATTCCCTTTAGACCATTACGAGCCGACGCCTCAACATTATTCTATTTCAGAGTGCTGTTGGTTTGTAAGGAGAAATCCTTAAATCAGGCCTTAAATTGAGCGGTATGTGACATTCACCAACATTTCTTTTTAGGGTGATAGAGACACATAGTGGGGGGAAAAAAGAGGGGGGGGGGTGAACTCGAGAGTTTAGTGCTGCAGGCTAGTGCTGTCGACACGGAATGTACAGGTCAGAATTGTTTTTTTCGCCCGAGACAGGAAAACACACCATACTGGGAGTCTAAACTCCATCTCCTGCACTAGAGCCGGGAATATAACCTTAAACACGAACCTTGATGAGGCCATTGTATTGTTAGTCAACATAGCAAAATGTGCCTATCCTAATGACAGTTATAAACTATTTATATGGTACTATAAATGGTATTTTTAAATCGTATACAAACACATACTTCTGACTTTCATCTCCATACTTATCCATATGAAGCTAAAAATAATTGAACTATAAAAATGTATATATATATATATATATATATATATATATATATATATATATATATATATATATATATATATATATATATATATATATATATATATATATATATATATATATATATATATATATATATATATATATATATATATATATATATATATATATATATATATATATATTACAAGCAGCTATATAAATAAATAAATTTTTTTTTTTATCGATCACCGGCTGTGAATTCCAGTGGAAGGTCCCGGTTAATCGTCCGCTTGGACTTTTCGCTTTCACCTGGACCTGAATTTTGCGTGTACAACCGTTTTTCATTTCCCTGCCTCATGAACGACACTGAGGGTTAACCGAGGATGTACATGAGTGGCCAGCCTATGGATGGTTGCTGTTGTGGTGCATCTCAGCGCGGTGACGACGACACTGGGGGTTAACCGAAGATGTACAAGGATGGCTAGCCTATGGATGGTTGCTTTTGTGGTGTACCTCAGCGCGGTGACGACGACACTGAGGGTTAACAGAGGATGTGCAGTGAACAATGTTCTCTTTACTCCGCAGTCTTTTAACCAAGGGTTGTAATTTTGGCTGTGCGTTTGGCAAACCTACTCATGTTCCTAATGAGTTTTGATAACATTTTTCACCCAAGCGTTTGGGGGCGGGCTGATGAGAGCCACAAGGACACATCACCTCTGGGGGCCGCCGAACTCCGAGATCCCCTGACA